GTGAAATCCATGTGAGCGGTGTATATGTGAGGTGACGAGTACTTATGCGCCGCCAATTTATCTGTTTTCCATGTTTCTCTGTTTTTCTTATATTGTCTCTTTCTTATGCCAAAATGCTACTTGTTATACTTGTGTTGTTCAATTTATCGTTCTTATCATGTTTACGGATTTTCTGGTGATAATTGAGTTTTTATTTCAAAGTTGAGATTGATATTATGGAACCAAATATTGAAGTAAGGTTTGTACTTGTTATTCTATCTCTCTGTTGTTATTTATGCATTGCATTATGGTAAGAGAGAGTGTAAAAGCATGAAGGGTGATGCCGTGCCATATTGTGAGTGTTAATGCATGAAGGGTGATGCCGTGCCATATTGTGAGTGTTAATGCACGAAGGGTGATGTCGTGCCATATTATGAGTGTCGAAGGGTGATGTCGTGCCATGATATGAGAGTTAATGCACGAAGGGTGATGCCGTGTATTTTTCCTTATTGTATTCACTATTACTGTTGATTCATGTTATATTGACTGCTCCGGTGATCATTTTGTTGTAGTTCTTTATCTTTTATTCCCCTCAGTATGTTCCCCTCCCGGTATTTCCTGTTTAGTTCTTCATTTTTGTTATGTATATATACACTGTTAAATTGTACAGGTTTGATTTGTAGGTGCCTTTCTTTAGCCTCGTCACTACTTCGTCGAGGTTAAGCTCGACACTTACCAGTACATGGGGTCAGTTGTACTGATACTGCACTCTGCACTTTCTGTGCAGATTTTGATACCGGCTTGGGCTGATCGAAATTTTGCTATTGGTCAGTTGTCCGGAGACTCAAGGTAGATATGTCGCCGTTCACAGACCTTGAAGTCCCCGTCTATCTTTTCTATTCTACTGTTTCTTTCATTCATACAGTTGTATTTCTTTCAGACTATTACTTATAGTAAATTCTAGAATGCTCATGAATTGTGACTCCAGATCCGGGTGGTAGTAATTAATACAGTTTTATGATATTTCGCACTTATTATATTTCATCTTAGTTAATTATTGTTAATTACTGAATGGGAATAAGGAATTGGTTTAATGATTCTCTAACGTTGGCTTGCCTAGCAAGTGAAATATTAGGCGCCATCATGGTCCCATCGGTGGGAAATTTCGGGTCATGACAATTGTTATTTCGGTGATTTTACATTTTTATTTTTAGATTTCATCTCGAATTTCTCTGAACCATTTGATAATCTATAGGAATACAAAAAAAAGCCTGCACAGAAAGACTCATTTGAGGCCTATTTGGTGTTGTTGTTGTTGTTTTTCAGTCTTGATAGAACTCGACTATCTTAGTTTGAGTAATTTAAAAGCTTCTTGTTCAGAAACCTATTGCAAGTTGGTATTTCATTCTATTTTTTTTTTCTTTTATGGCTATATGCCTAAATCAGTAGATAGACAATTTTAAATTTTATAAGGCATATATATGTTACTGTAAGGTTATAAGAAAATATATATTTTTTTTCTTTTATGGCTATATGCCTAAATAATTAGATAGATTCAAGAACAGGTTGCAAGCTTCTGAACAGGTTCAAGAACAGCTGAACCAACTAAAGCACCAGGAGCCATTGATGGCGCCCATGAGACTGTTGTTACCCCAACTGGATGGGCTTGGTCAATTTTTGTAGTGTCCCAAAGACCATCTGACCTAGCAATGTGAACTGAGATACTACCATCAGAAGAACCACAAGCCAAGCATAGCCCAAGTTCATGAGGAGCCCATGAAATAGAGTTAACTGATGATTTATGGTCGCCAAAAACATGAGCTTGTGTCCACTCATTTTGATTGTCTTCCTTCCAGATTACAACTTTACCATCATAGGAACAGGAAGCAAGGATTGAGCCAAATTTGGGGTGTGTCCAAGCAACTTGCCAAACATGACCAGTATGGCCACTCAGAGTGGCAAGATGCTGTGAAGCTGAGTTGTTGCTGACTCCAACTATTTTTATGGTCATATCAGATGATGATGTGGCCATACGTTTCCCATAATAGTCCATGGAAACATCGTGAACTATGTCATTGTGACCTGTTTCAATCTTCTGTACATGCATCTTTCTTTGCCACTAATGTCTCTCAACTCCTACACTTATTGGTCAATTTGATTTTCATAAATATGTCAGTTTGATAGAATAAACTTTTAAGAAATTTAAATTTGGTGGCAATGGATAATCAATCTGGATAATCATCCTGGTGGCAGATGGAGTAAACATATCCTCTTGCTAACCAAAGGGCGCCATTCACATCTTTGAGAGGTTACTTATTAATCTGTTTACTTACAGGTTGTTAGTGAGATGAACAAAAAAAACAGAGAAAAGTAAATAACTAAGCATACTTGTGGTACAAGGTCTTTTGCAGAAGTAGAGGAATCTACGGTAAAAATATATTTAGTCCCCTACTATCACATATGCTTTTTTGTTATTTACATATTTATATATTTGCTTATATATTGTTTTTTCGAAATTATATTGCAGAGAAATCCTATTACTGGAGAAATAGACACACCAGATAATATTTAGGAGATCCAACATACACGCAAGGATGATAGAGGAGAACTGGTGTGGGTGGATTCACAATCCCAACAAATTCATGTAATTATTTAAAATCATAGACTTATTATCTTTTTATTTCTATAAGTTACATTCAATGTGTTTTATTATGTTTTGATGTAAATGATTATGTATAAATGCAGGGTCAACTCCAAGAAGTTGTCGCTCAATAACAATATGAAGAGATCGAGCATCCAATGACTAGAGATGAGATTTTATCCACCGTTCTTGGTGAGAGAACAGGCTATGTTCGCGGAAAAGGATACAGAAAGAAGCTTCCTAAAAAGAGTAACATGCAGCAGGAAAACATAGAGTCCAGCGTGTCTTCCGCTATGGAAATTATGCGTCAGGAGATGCAAGCTGAGATGGATAGGAAGTTGCAAGAAGAACGTGAACAAATGGCTGCTCAGTTGCAAAGAAATATGGAACTTGAGTTGCAAAGGAAGTTGGAAGAGGAGCGTGAACACGTAAAAACAGAAGTAGACAAGAGGATCCATCTAGAAGTGGACAAGAGGATGCATGAACAATTTGCTAGTTTGATGACCAGAATGCTACAACAGGTACTTGCTCCGCTGCTTCTTAACAATTCTTCTTCCTTCTCGGCATTTCTTCTTCCTTCATTCTGGACAATTCTTCTGTTGCTTCTTTCCTTCTCCGCTGCTTCTTAACACTTCATGCTACAACCAGAATTCTTTTACTGCTACTGCTATATTATTATTTAGTTATTGTTTTTTGCTACTATTATTATTTAGCTATTATTATTGTTGCTGAATTTAGGGAAATATGGTGGATTAAGTAAGAAAAATTTAGCTATTATTATTGTTGATGGTGTTTTTGGTGCTGGTGCTTCTATGTTGTTGGGTTTTGGGGCTTGGTATTAGTATTTTACGAAGGCGGGGAAGAGAAGGAGGAGGAGAACGGAGTATGGATTAGTTGTGGGTTCTGCGCTTTGCTTACTGCTGAAGTTTGATTTTTTGAGCCAAATTCTTGTATGTAGCAATCTGCATGTTCAGATTTGGTTCTTAGAGATTTGATGTAATCTTACTCTAACTGTGAGATCCTATAAATATTACTCTACGTGATGTACGAATTAAAAAATGGGTACAAGATGCTAGTTTCTCATCATTACATGCTTTGTGCCTACTACAGAGATTGTAGCCATTAATTCCTTCAAGATTTCATTAACTCATGGAAGTAAGCAGCTATTTACTTTTATTTTTTTTCTTCTTTAAGCGGCATAGAGAAACCTAAAATTTACCATTCAACATGCTATTCGCGTATGAACAATACCTCATTGCTTATTCTACACTAAAATGAGATGGGCTGAACATATGAAAAACCAGCCATGCTTCTTACCAAGTGTCACAGATCCGGAATCTAATTCTTGAACTTGACTATAGGTATCGTGCCATTCGCATTATCTTTTATTCTTTATTTCCTTAGCTGGTGGCAATTTATGTTGCTCAGAAATTTTATCTACTTATCTTTGAGTAGATAGCGGAAAGTCAGTTCACCTTAGAGATGCTGAATAGGTACTTGTCCTTATTTTCAGTTTTGAAAAGCTTAATTGTCTTTGATAGCTGTAGGTATTGATAGGATCTGCATTTGCTCAGGAATCTTTTCAAATTTAGTTCCTTCTTCTTTGTATTTGATATGTTTGGTTGACAGTTTGAGTAGTCTGTTTATATAAAAGGAAGATTTGATTTTATTCCAGTGCTTCAATAATGTAAAAGTTAGTTGTTCATTCTACCTCATTATTATTTATTATGGGCATGCAGCTTGTAAGAATTTTAACACTCATTTATTTAAAATAATGTCTGTTTGTTTTATTTATCCTTTTAACATCTTAAAACCAAATTGGCAAGTTCTAGTTAAATACCAGCTTCCATATGTTCTTTGGGCATGTTTTTTGATATAAACCCACATCATTTTTAGTAGACCCCNGATGGTGTCGACCAAGGAGCAATTACAAGGTACTTAATATTTTATCTTTTTTGGGATATGTATATGCGTACGATTACAATGCACAATGAACTGTTGTGTAGTATTATGTAATTGACTTTTTAGTAATGAAAATATTTATAATATTCAGTTTGAGAAATTCTTTTGGTGTTTTTTAAATATCATTGGTTGCTTTTAATATTGGTGGTCAATTGATGTGAATATATAGTCATTAAATTTAGAGAATTCGGTTCCTACCGGAAATATATATAATTTTGATCTTTATATAATTTTTGAGAAGATAGGTTTTAGTGGCGACATTATTGTCACAAAATATTACTAATTGTTGCAATATCAAAATTTTCCACTGTTGGTTTATTTCTTTTGTAGCGACTTTAGTCGCTACAAAAAGTTATTGTGTCTTTCATGGTTTATTATATTGTAGCGACACGAGTCGCTACTAAGAGTCATTTATATTGGCGACATTAACTTGCCACTACAAAAATATTTCAGTAGCGACATTAACTTGCCACTACAAAAATGTTTTAGCAGCGATAGTAATCGCCGCGAAAGATGAATAGCAGTGGCAACCTAGGTGAATTTTTTTTCCTGTGGAACCATTTTTGTAGCGAGTTTTTTCACCTTTTGTGGCAACTATATCGCCGCAAAAGATACTCTTTTAGCGGTGACCTTAGGTGTCACCACAAATACCTTTCAGTTTCGGTTTTGCTTGTAGCAACACAAATGTCGCCACCGATAACATATAGCAGCGACTTTCAGATATTTTGTAGCGAACTTGGTCGCCGCAATAAGGCTGTTTTCTTGTAGTGTTGATAACCATACAGATCTCTTAATCCCAATAGTTGGCCCAAACTACGTTTTGACCTGATTCTTGCTTCTGTGGGATACGTAGGCAACCCTACATAAGGGTTCGGTTTTCCTACTATTTCAAAATACTTTCCTCAGTACGGAAAACTAGGCCAGTTCTTTTGGAACAGTGCAATGATGCTCTCAACCCAGAAATCTCCGAGAGTGTCAACCAAATTTCATCCAAAAGCCAAGCATCAAACTACCATGACAACCTTACTCTGACGCTCATTCGACTTAAATTCCAACATATGAGATGCAAGTACTTTCTTCAAACATCTGGCATGGAGTCATGGTGTTCGCTCATACTTTCCGAATTCAAAGATTCAATATCGGTCAACCCATTTCTTTACATGGGGGAAGTTGTTAGTCAGCCTTTGAGAAGTATCATGCTCGCACGACTTGGACAAACAAACAAGAACAAGCAAAGCTTTGAGTCAACACAAATCGACCAACCTCCCTCGAACTAAGAATTTTTCTTTGAACGCAGGAGGGACAACATCATCTTCGAAACCATCATGAAATGCCAATATCGCATTTTCGATCACAACCGGATACACCACTGGCTGCATGACCTAACTGTGCACCCTCTTAATTTTATAAATTCAACTAAGAGGGACTCTAACATTTTCTCCTCTGAGTTTTGCAGGAATATCATCTTGGACACTTCTCGGGATATATCATTTGGACTTGGGCTTGGTGGATCATCAGTCAAATAATCAGGAGAGTAATGGTTTTACAATGAAATCCATTTTTTACGACTTCGTTGTTCTCACCACTTTTCTATAATCAGATCAGAATATCGTTCCCGGTTGTCGACCGGGGACGATCATCAAATGGGTTTTGTGGATAGCTGAAAGGTTCCTTATCTGGGACTGCACGGGAAATATCCTGCCGACATCAGATTATCGCCCTGGCTAATAGCCGGAGACTATCACCAAAAGGTTCCTGTGGACTGCTGGAAGGTCGCAACAAAACATCCTTGCAATCAATTGGGAGAAAACCACAACTGTCTCGCAAACAGTCAGGGGCATCAGAGCAACTGTTCGAAGGAGAAACTGGGGCACATCTTCTGGATGGAGTCACTCTTCAACTCTAGGGATACCGTACCCAATCATGGGTACAATGAGGCATCGCTCTGAGTTTGTCTATACCCTTGCATTTCGTACATATATTTGACGCAATTAATATAGATAGTTGCAATTCTGTAAAATAGGAGAGTAAAAGAAGTGTTGAAAGCCATACATCTCATACTCTCTACCCTTCACAAACTACGCGTACCTGATTCTTGACCTTGTGTCAAGATACGTAGGCAATCCATAATGGGTCCGGTTTTTCTCGTCCTTAACTGGACGAATCGGTTAAGTTTGACCACTTGGGTCATAGTTGACCGAAGATCTTTGCGAAAAGATCATTCCCAAAAAACAAATATATATATA